TCCATAGTTCATCAGGCTCTCTGTCTATCAGATCTAGTCCCTTAAATCTATTTCTCACTTCCACTGTATAGTCATAAGGGATTTGATTTAGGTCATACCTGAATGGTCTAGTGGTTTTCCCTACTTTCTTCAACTTAAGTCTGAATTTGGCAATAAGGAGTTCATGATCGGAGCCACAGTCACCTCCCAGTCTTGTTTTTGCTGAATGTGTAGAGATTCTCCATCTTTGGCTGCAAAGAATATAATCAATCTGATTTTGGTGTTGACCATCTGGTGATGTCCATGTGTAGAGTCTTCTCTTGTGGTGTTGGAAGAGGGTGTTTGCTATGACCAGTGCGTTCTCTTGGCAAAACTCTTATTAGTCTTTGCCCTGCTTCCTTCTGTACCCCAAGGCCAAATTTGCCTGTTACTCCAGGTGTTTCCTGACTTCCTACTTTTGCATTCCAGTTCCCTATCATGAAAAGGACATCTTTTTGGGTGTTAGTTCTAAACGGTCTTGTAGGTCTTCATAGAACCGTTCAACTTCAGCTTCTTCAGCATTACTGGTCAAGGCATAGACTTGGATTACTGTGATATCAATGGTTTGCCTTGGAAACGAACAGGGATCCTTCTGTCGTTTTTGAGATTGCATCCACGTACTGCATTTTGGACTCTCTTGTTGACTATGATGGCTACTCCATTTCTTCTAAGGGATTCTTGCCTTAGAAGTCCAGTCCAACAGTTGGCAACAGATACATAAACAAGTATGTAAAAATGAAGCCATTTTTAATTACCAGAAATGAAAAATTATATAAGGAAGAAAATTCTAATAGGCTGTTTGACTGAACAGACTATTTAAGCATAATAATATACATACAATATACTGAGCCAATAATTGTGTTAGAATAATATTGGGACGGCTACTCAGAGGGCAAAATCCTTCTCTGTTTTAATGGATATCAGGAGATGATACCTAAAATCTTCAGCCTAAATGTAGTGTTGACAGTCCAGAAGCACAGAGGCTGGGACCAGAAGAAACAGCTAAAAGACACTATTAGGAAGAAAGAAAGCCCTTTCCTCAGAGGAGGAGGGGATGGTGAAGGTGAGCAGAGGATGGGGCAGAGGGCTGCTGCTTTTATTTTCCTTTTTTTTTTTTCCCATTTATTTTTATTAGTTGGAGGCTAATTACTTTACAATATTGTAGTGGTTTTTGTCATACATTGACATGAATCAGCCATGGATTTACATGTATTCCCCATCCCAATCCCCCCTCCCACCTCCCTCTCTACCCGTTTTGTTTTCTTTTAAATATTTGACTTTTTAAATCATATCTCTCTAATAAATTAAAAATTATTCTGTGATATAGAAAAATTAAAACACACCAGCAAAAAAAAAGAAGTGATTTTAAGCTCCTGGTAACATTTTAAAAATTTAATTATTTTTTAATTGGAGTATGGTTGCTTTACATTATGTTGGTATCTGCTGTGCAGCAATGTGAATCGGCTGTATATACATATATATCCCATCCTTCTTGAGCCTCCTTCTCACTCACCCCCACCCCGTCTCACCCATCTGGGTCACCACTGAAGCACCCAGCTGAGTTCCCCGTGCTACATAGCAGCTTCCCATTAGCTATTTATTTTATATATGGTAACATGTAAAATATGTCAGCGCTACTCTCCCAGTTCGCCCTACCTCTCCTTCCCCAACTGTGTCCGCAAGTCTCTCTTAGGCCTCTGTCTCTATTCCTGCCCTGCAAATAGGTTTATCAGTGCTCCTGGTAACATCTGATGGTCTGTATTCTCCAGCACTTTGCTGTATGCATATGAGTCACATTTTTTTTATTAAAACAAAAATGACTTCATACACAAATGCTATTTGACAACTGGCCTTTTCTCTTACCTATGTATCCTGAGTGTCTTCTTACGCTATTAACTGTTGTAAAACAAAACTTAAATATACCAAATTATGAGACTTATTTTGAACCTTCTTAAAAATACCCTTTGAAATACACGGAGGACGGGGTCTTTTGTCCACAGTTTAAGACATCTATAAATCCAAGAGTCATGTTGCCTCCGTGGTCATGACGGTCAGAATGTGTCCCTTCCCTTGCAGATGGGGAGCCAGACCTTAACCTACCCATACTGGTCACAGACCCAGGCAGAGACCCTCCCGCTGCCCTCGACGTCAGAGCTGAGGCCATGAAGCCAGACAAGATGGAGGAGACACTCACGTGCATCATCTGCCAGGACCTGCTGCATGACTGTGTGAGGTGCGCCCAAGTGGGGTCCTGTGGGAAGCCAAGGGTGGGGCGGACCTTAGGGTCAGGTCAGGGGCTACACCCCCTGAGGGTGCCATAGCCATTTTCCTTGTGTGGCGGATGAGCCAGAAACCGGGCCATTGACTGAAGCTTCAGAGGAGCCTGAGAGACTGGGGTGTGGTGGCTCTGAGCTCGGGTTGGCCTCAGGAGGAGCAGGAGAGCTGCACCGAGGGCTCGGTATCTCCTGGCAAAGGAAGCTTGGCGGTTAGCATGGAGCAAGCCTCCCAGAATGGAGATCACTCCTTGCTTCTCTGGGAACTTGGAATTAATCTGTCTGAAGTTCAGCTGAAATGCGTGTCCGTTCCACCCACACCCTGTGTCCCCGCTCTTCCTCCCTGATCCTCCCTAGGGTGCCATGTGACCCCTAGTTTCTTTTTTTTTTCTCTAGCTTCTTGTAGTTGACAGGCAGAGTTAGAGCAGTTGAGGTGGGTGCTGTGTTTTTGCATAGGGACTGTTTCTCCGGCGGGTTTTGGAAGGCAGGTGGCTTCCCCCAGCAGCAGACCTCACACCTTGTATGGGTGGAATGCCCAGGAAGCACAGCCTCAAGGCCCTGCTGAGGCAAAAGAGCATGGGGGCTGGGGATGGGCAGTTGGCTCATTTCTCTGTTTTGTACCGAACCTCAGTCTGAGCAGGACCATTTCCTCCTCCGAGGAAAGAGGCAGCATGACCCTGGGGCCTTGCTCCTCACGCCCCAGGCCAGCCGTGCCCCTGGGGCCCTGGCATCCGGGGGGGCTGCTGTACTTGCTGGGGAGACGCTTTGCCCACGAGCGCCCCAGGCCTCTGCAGCCCATCATGTGCCCTTAGCCTGCAGCCCTGTATGCACACCTTCTGCGCTGCCTGCTACTCGGGCTGGATGGAGCGCTCTGCCCTGTGCCCCACCTGCCGCTGTCCGGTCGAGCGCATCTGTAAAAACCACATCCTCAACAACCTGGTGGAGGCGTACCTGCTGCAGCACCCAGACAAGAGGCGCAGCGCGGAGGACCTGCGCAGCATGGCCGCCAGGAACAAGATCACGCAAGACATGCTACAGCCCAAGGTCAGGAGGGCCTTCTCTGACGAGGAGGGCAGTTCCGAGGACCTGCTGGAGCTGTCGGACGTGGACAGCGAGTCCTCGGACGTTAGGTGAGCCCTTTGGGCCTGGAGTGGGGTGGGCGGCCCCAGTCTGACCGCCCCCCAGGACCTGCTGGTCCAGGCCACTGCTGAGGCGCAACCCGGCAGTCGTGTTGCCTGCCTTGTGCCAAGCATGCCACTCATTCAGGTGACCGTGGTAAGGCTTGCTCACTGCCCTGCCTCCTGTGATAGCCTCTTTTTTTCTCTTTTGTTATGCAGTGGAACATTTATTCTATTTTTTTGTTATTTATCTATATTGTTTTCCAGTTTTTTTAAGATGTAACTGACATGCAGCCTTATAGAAGTTCAGGGTGTGTAGCATATGCTTGGGCTTAATTACTGTGAGAGACTGACCACAGGAAATGATACTCTTTCATTTGCTGAGCCCTCAAGTGCCTTGATTCACCAGCTGATATAAATACCACATGAGCACACTCACTCTCCGCAGCTTACCTAGTGAACATACGTCCTAGAGTTTCACTTGCGTTACTTATCATCTGTCAGGGTATTATTGCAGAAAAGCCACAGCCACCTGGTAGACAGGATGCAGCCCTAGGAGACCTTATTTTATCGGCTGATGTCTCCTGACTGAGAAGTCCAGGGTGTGAATTTTTGTGTCGAGGCCATAATATTTAAAAAGACAAACCCCCACCCCCAGTTTGTCTCTTTTCACAAAATTTAGCACATAATGTTCAAGCACAAAGAAAACCAAAAATCACTTTAGTGTGAAGTTTTTATTACATATTCATCCAGTTATACACACGTGTAGTCATACATACTTAATTTTTTTTTTTTTTACCATTTATGGCATTTTTTGGTAATATTTTTTTGAATCCTGGGACAAAACCGCAATGCACATTCTGTGTTTACAGTTTAGTGCACATGTCAAGTTATTTCTTGGAGACAAGCATGCGGAAGTAGGATATTCATGTCAGGAGTCTCAGTGAGAGGATACCTTGCTGTACTTCTGACGTCTGTCATCAAATGCCTGCTGTTGAGTGTGGGTGGCGGCACTCCCCGGGGTGTGCGGAGGGACAGCAGTGATCCCCGAGACACTCGGGATATTGGGACAGGCAGGTAACTTATTCCCATTTACATGTTTTTNAGGTTTCAGTGTCTCAGGGTATTTACTTTGTTGTTTTTTTTTTTTTTTTTTTTTTTCATGTTTTTCTTACAAACATGGCTGAGCATCTTCTCAGCATTTCTGCCTTTTCTGGTCGTGTCTTGCCTGTCCTTCCCATGGGTGGCAGACTTGGGCAGGTATCCTCTGACTGAGACCAGAGGGGAGTCCACATGTGCCTTTCCTGAGGATTGTGTTTTACCGTCTGCAGGTTTGAAGGCTCAGCTGAAGAGCATACAGCTGAAAGCCCCTGTGGACACCGGCCTCCTGCCCTGGCACATTCTCAGATTTTAATGAGGGGAATGGTGTGCACTGGGTGGCGTCAGCCCTGCGAGAGGGCATCCTGCCCAGTGTGGGGACAGGACGGCTCCCAGGGGATGGCTCAGGGGGGCGAGGGGCAGGCAGGAAATGTCTCCAGACCCCAGGAGTGTCTGAGGGAGAGAGTGCTGGAGAAGTACGGGAAGAGAGGGGCTGGGAGGTGGCAGGGAGCAGAGCCTTCGACTGCTGCTCTGCAGGGTGAGTGTAGGGAGTGCCAGTGCCAGATGAGGGCAGCTGTCCTTGCCCTTTGCACATACCAGGTCCAGCAGCTGATGCAGAGCTGAGACATGGAGGGGGGAAGAGGCCCATGAGCTGGGGTCTGGGTCTTGGCTTGTCATTCAGGCTGGGGCTGTTGTCGCTGCCCTCAGCCTCACACACCAACCAGAGCGGCTGTCATCTCAACCCCCCGAGCTCTGTGCTTTTCTTGCAGCCAGCCGTCCATCGTGTGCAGACAGTGCCCTGAGTACCGCAGGCAGGCGGGGCAGCCCCTTCCCTATCCAGGGCCCGGCAGCGAGCCAGGGGCACCGCAGGCCCCCGGGGATGCACCGTCCACATCCGCCAATGTCACAGCAGGTGAGATGGCCACTCCCTCCTTGCTGTCCTGACCGTTCCGGGTGTAGGTGGTGCTTCTGCTGGCTCTTCTCTGCTCAGATAACTCGTTGCTTTTCATGAGCTAAGAACCAGATAATCAGCTCTATTTGTGGATCTCTGCTCTTGAACACACAGTCCTAATTCTGACACTTACCCTTCCCCACCCCTCCCCGCTACTACCTTGGGGCAGTCAGCATGCCCTGGGATACTTGCCAAAGCCGAAGTGACCATCACACATGGGCCCCTCCAGTGAGGGACTGGCTTCTTTCCAGCAACAGGACATGATGTTACCAGAGCTGCCCTGAATTGTCTGTTCACTGTCCATTTCAGTGGGTGAGTTCCTAAGTGCCATTAAGAAAGGGAAAGTGAATGTGTGGACTGTGGTTTGTGGCCCTACATTGAAGGGCCTGGCCTCCTTGCCACTGTCAGCCTGAGCCTGTCTAGAGGCCGCTGACCTCGTGATTGTGACCCAGAGCCACATTCTAAACTATCTACCATATGTGCTATGCCATGGCTCTCGGGGGTGTCCTTTTAGGCCCCTACAGGTGGGGATGGCCAGGGCGATGCGTGGAAGGCCCCATTGTGACCATGGCCAGTGCATAGACAGAGCCTCACGTGGTGCGTGAGTGACCAGGGCCAGGCCACATTGACACAGCTCCTGGTGCAGAGTTAGCCAGCAGAGACTAGAGAAATCACTTTATTGTTTTATGATCTGTCCTTCCTTTACAGGGAATACTAGAAAACCTTCAAGTGGCCTTTGAAATCTTGCTCCAGCTACTGAACCAAAAGATAGCTTCGGTCACTTTTCCATCGTTAAACCTTTTAGTTGGAGTGGTAGACCGTTACTTGGCTGTTAGGAAAATTGGCCTGAGATCTGTCCAGGTTTTCTTGTAGGTCTGTGTCCTCTTGTGTATCCTGTAGCTGCCCCTCCAGGTGTGGCTGAACCACTCGTGCTGCTGCTACAGCGCTGGCAGCACCAGCCTGAGCGGCCTGTCTGTCCCACAGCCCAGGACTACGTGTGTGCCCTGCAAGGAAGCCACGCCATATGCACCTGCTGCTTCCAGCCCATGCCCGACCGGAGGGCGGAGCGCGAGCGGGACCCCCGCATCGCCCCCCAGCAGTGTGAGTGAGGGTGTGGGTGTGTGTGTACACTGTCTGCCTGGGGCCCCTCCCCACCTCAGAGCCACTCCTCTGTGTTCTTCCAGCCTGGTTTTCAAAGTGTCATGGACTTTTGTGTGTGATTTGAGCTAAAGATACAGTTCTGTGTTTCCACCTGTGTCATCACGTATCCCTGCAGGACTGTGTTGATAATCTTATCTTTGGTCACCAGTTGATACACAGGGGACTCTCTTTGTAGATCCTGTATCTGACACATCACCCCAGTAGTTCTCTAGTGTCTCATTCTATTCTATTCTGTTGGCTGCACAGTTTGTTGGATCTCAGTTCCCCGAGCAAGGATTGAACCTGGTTCAAGGTGTCATTTTAAAATCTAACAGCTGAACTATACGGCACTTTGACAGTTTCCAGATGATGGTGAAAATCGAGCATGTCATTTATTTCATGGTTACATGAACTTCCTCCTCGCCGTGTGGCGTGACTGGTGCATGTGCTCTGTGTCCACAGGTGCCATCTGCCTGCAGCCCTTCTGCCACCTATACTGGGGCTGTGCCCGGACTGGCTGCCTCGGCTGCCTGGCCCCGTTCTGCGGTAATGCCGGCCCCACCACCGATCGCCACCACCTTTCCTCATTCGCTTGGTGCACCTGAGGCCAGTGGTGGGCTGGCTGTGTGCCTGAGCAGGCAAAGGCCACGCTGGTCGCCATGAATCAGCTGCCTTTTCCTGGAGGTCTGCATAGGTTTGCAAGTGTCAGTGAGTGTTGGCTCCAAGCTAGCAGTAACAGCAGCAGGGGAGCTCTGAGCTGTGCACAAGGACCACCCCCACTAAAAACACATGTCTGGACTTCACAACACCAGACCAGGGACTGTGCATTCTGGACCATTTCTGGGGGGAGTGGAATAGATGCCTTTTACTTTTTCTCTGTTTGAAATTATATTTCATCACAGAACTTTTTTTTTTTATTAAACTTTCTATTTCATTATGGGATATAGCTGATTAACAAACAATGTGATAGTTTCAGGTGAATAGCAGAGGAACTCGGCCATACATATACATGTATCCTTTCTCCCCCCAATTCCTCTCTCATCCAGGCTGCCGTATAACATTGAGCAGAGTTCCCTGTGCTATTCTATAGGTCCTTGTTGGTTACCCATTTTAAATACAGCAGTGTGTCCATGTCCATCCCAAACTCCTTACTATCACCTCCCCTACCCCCGCCCCCCCACGCCATGACCATAATGTCACATAACTTTTCATTCCTCATAGAATCCATAATGAATGAAATTTGGTTATCCTGTCAGGTGAGCAGTGCTTTCATAAAGTGTATATGGAATGGGTAATGCTGCTTCCCTCCATCCCAACAGAACTCAACCTGGGTGACCGGTGTCTGGATGGGGTGCTGAGCAACAACAACTACGAGTCAGACGTCCTGAAGGTACAGGCCAGGTGGAGGCCAGTGGGAGGCCTCCCAGGACTGTCCAGTGTTGTGACTCTGCATGTCTGTTTATCCCTGTATCCCCTCAGATAGGTATTCCTCCCTGCCCTTCACAGTGAGAAGCCACAGGAATTGTGTTACACAGTTCCAGCTCCTGCTCAGCCTGCCCGGGGCAGGCAGGGGGAGCGGCTGGCCTTTGGGTGGAACCAGGACTGCCCTCTGGCCCTCTTCATGCATTTCAGGAGGCAGCTGGCTCTTAGAACTTCAGGGTTTAACGTGCACATGGTTCGCTTGCCAGGGGTCTTCCCTTCACCACAATTATGTGCGGTGTGACACCCCCAGGGCAAGGCCCTTCTCATCTGAACAGCACCTCCTCCACCCCACTGCTCTCTGGCTAGGTGTTCACAGGCACGCTTTTGTAGGTTTACACAGACAGAACCAAGCAGCTCCATGTGTCTTGAGGGCAGAGCCCACCCAGATATAAACCCTGGCTTCCTTGTCACGAGGTCATGGGCCTGTCACCACACTGTGGCCGCTCTGGCTAAGATTAGGTCTCACTGCTCCTATGCTGTAGGAATGTCTTTGCAGAATTTCAGAAAGAGAGTGCCAACTCTTACACTCGAGGTTCTAAAGCTAGCCTGCCCCTTTGAGACTGAGAAGAAGCTCCTTGGTCGAAAAGTTTGTGCCTCCGTGTGTGGGTGTGAGACCATGTCTGTCCCAGGCCTCCTGTTCCAACAGGCCATCCAGGCCGCCCAGCTGAGCTGGAAGCAGGTCCCCTAACTTCATGCAACACTCACCCTCTGCAAGTGCCCACCACACTTACGTGTTTTGTCTCTACGCACCTTCCAGGGCCTTTTATGAAATGTCAGTCCTCTTTGCCGTGTGTTTTTGTTCTTGGTTTTTTTGTGGGTTTTTTTTTTTTTAATATTTACTTATTGGCCGTGCTGGGTCTTCATTGCTACAAAGGCTTTTCTCTGGTTGCAGAGACTAAGGGTTACTCTCTAGTTACACTACATGGGCTTCCTGTTGCCATGGCTTCTCTCATCGCAGAGCACGGGCTTAGAGCGTGGGGACTTCGGTAGTCGCAGCACATGGGCTCCGTAGTTGTGGCCCTATGGGCTCAGCTGCCACGCAGCATGTGGGACCTTCCCAGACCAGGGATCAAACCAGTGTCCCCCGACATTGCAAGGTGAACTGTCAATCACTGGACCACCAGAGAAGCTCCCTCTTTGCCCTTTTAATATTTCCTTCTCCAAGCTCATGCTTCTTCTTTTGCCCATTTCCCTGTTACAGAATTACCTGGCCACCAGGGGTTTGACATGGAAAAACATGTTGATTGAGAGCCTTGGGGCTCTGCAGAGGGGAGTATTCCTGCTGTCTGGTAAGCCTTGTTGTGCCTGCCTGCCCCCCACTGATGGTGGTGTTTTCCAGGGGCACCTCTGCCTCTGGCCAAGCAGTCCCTCCTGCCTGTCCACACACTGGCCTTGTTGGCTTTCCCGCGTTCACTCTTGCAACCTCTGCCCACCCTGGCAGAGACAGACAGAAAGGTCCTCTGGACATGATATGTTCCAGAATCTTCTTGCACAGTGGAGGGAAGGGGCACGGCTGGCGAGGTGCTGGCCCCACCACTGTCAGCACTGACATTCTAGGGCTGCTCGTCAGGGTCTTTGCTGGCCTCTCCCTCAGTGCATCAAGTGACTCAGTGAAGGCTCGCCACCTCTCCCAGGGACACCTAGTGCTTTGTGAAATGTGAACTTTTGTCACTAATGGAGGGTGCAGAAAAATCAGTGAGTGATTTTTTTTCCCTAATGCATAAATTATTATCAAAGACTTGAAAGGTACTAAGTTATTTTGTCTCACAGACACATTAGAGTGTCTTGAGTTTTCTCTGTTGGGACAGCTCTATGTGGTTGGGTCTTAACTTCTTTTGCTTTTTAATGGCTATTTTTATAAGAATGATGTGGTTCACAAAGAAAACGTAAGTGGTACAAGAAAGTCTGAAGGATAAAGTGAAAATCGTTGGAAATCCCACCACCTAAAATATACCCAGTCATAATACTTTGACAGCCACCCTTCTAAGTGCATGTACCCATGTTTGTGCATCATGTTCATAAATGAGATCCTGCCAGATATACTTTTAATAACCTATTCACTCAACAGTATATCTCAGACTCTTCCTACGTCAACAAAGATCTAGGCCTTGATTTTTTGTGTGTTATTACTTAGCATTCTGATACCGTCGTTCATTTAGCCAGTTTGTTACTAAAGGATATTTAAGTTCTTTCCAGCTTTTCACTGTTTGAACCACCACTAAAGCTGTCGAGCATGCAGTCCTGTAGGTTTCACAATCAGTCCCCATCCCCACCCCGACCCCCACCCCTAAAAAAAACACAGTTGTCCCCTTAGAATAATAAACAGGACTACTGTCACTGGCTTGCATGGTTGAGGCATGCCCTGGGGCCTGAGTGCCAGCATACCCTAAGCCCATCAGCTGAATGTTTGCCCTCTAGGTCTTGTAAATATGAAATAGGCAAACGGTGGGATATTTTATCTGCCCGTGTTTGATGATTAATGAAATTGAAAATCTTTTTCTTATATGGGACATATATATGCTTGTCTGTGTCCTTGGTTCATTTTTGGACTTGGGAGGTTATTTGTGTGATATCTTTGTTAATTAAGGGTACAACACATTGTCATTTGTGTTAAAAGTGACATCAGTCATTTCTACTATTTTATTACTGTTTCATTAGTATTTCTCCTTTGTTATATGTGTTTCCATTGTGATGTGTAAACTGGAGGCAGTCACATTTACAAATCCCTTCCTTTGTGCCATTTTGTTTTCATGTCATAGTTAGAAATAGCTCAAGAGAAGAATATTCATTCCTCTTAGTACTTTTTTAGATTGTTCTAAATATTTAAATTTTTTATCTAGATGGAATGATTTTGCTGTAAGGAAATAAGTTGGCGTCTAGGTTGGTTTTGCTCTTGTTTTCCAAACGCCCAGCCCTTTGTCTCCACCCTGTCTATGGATCAGTGCATTAGTTCCCCAGCAGCGTGCAAGCCACGTCTGTTCTGCTGTGCTCCCCACTGCTGTGCTCCCCACATGATGCTACCCACTGGCGGGCTGCGCCTGTAAGAGGCCGTGTTCCTTCCAGATTACAGAATCACCGGGAACACCGTGCTGTGCTACTGCTGCGGCCTGCGGAGCTTCCGCGAGCTCACCTACCAGTATCGGCAGAACATTCCTGCTTCTGAGCTACCAGGTGAGGAGCTCTTTTCACTGTTTGAACCACCACTAAAGCTGTCGAGCATGCAGTCCTGTAGGTTTCACAATCAGTCCCCATCCCCACCCCGACCCCCACCCCTAAAAAAAACACAGTTGTCCCCTTAGAATAATAAACAGGACTACTGTCACTGGCTTGCATGGTTGAGGCATGCCCTGGGGCCTGAGTGCCAGCATACCCTAAGCCCATCAGCTGAATGTTTGCCCTCTAGGTCTTGTAAATATGAAATAGGCAAACGGTGGGATATTTTATCTGCCCGTGTTTGATGATTAATGAAATTGAAAATCTTTTTCTTATATGGGACATATATATGCTTGTCTGTGTCCTTGGTTCATTTTTGGACTTGGGAGGTTATTTGTGTGATATCTTTGTTAATTAAGGGTACAACACATTGTCATTTGTGTTAAAAGTGACATCAGTCATTTCTACTATTTTATTACTGTTTCATTAGTATTTCTCCTTTGTTATATGTGTTTCCATTGTGATGTGTAAACTGGAGGCAGTCACATTTACAAATCCCTTCCTTTGTGCCATTTTGTTTTCATGTCATAGTTAGAAATAGCTCAAGAGAAGAATATTCATTCCTCTTAGTACTTTTTTAGATTGTTCTAAATATTTAAATTTTTTATCTAGATGGAATGATTTTGCTGTAAGGAAATAAGTTGGCGTCTAGGTTGGTTTTGCTCTTGTTTTCCAAACGCCCAGCCCTTTGTCTCCACCCTGTCTATGGATCAGTGCATTAGTTCCCCAGCAGCGTGCAAGCCACGTCTGTTCTGTTGTGCTCCCCACTGCTGTGCTCCCCACATGATGCTACCCACTGGCGGGCTGCGCCTGTAAGAGGCCGTGTTCCTTCCAGATTACAGAATCACCGGGAACACCGTGCTGTGCTACTGCTGCGGCCTGCGGAGCTTCCGCGAGCTCACCTACCAGTATCGGCAGAACATTCCTGCTTCTGAGCTACCAGGTGAGGAGCTACCTGGCCCCTTCCAGGCCCATAGTTCAGTTCTGCTTGCGTGGGCTCCCACACTCTTTTGCAGTAGCTCAATACCCGTGTGGGCCTTTGCTCTGAGTTCACAGCAGGGCCAGGGACACAGCCTGGTGGGTGGGGGCACGAAGGCCACACTTTACTCTAGCACCCCTGCCTGGTGCCTGCACAGGCTCTGGATTGGTGAGGCGGCTTCCTGAAACATGATGGCAACTGGCGTCATCTCATTTCTAAACTGGATTTTCCATTAAGGATTTTTTTCCTTTCCTGGAGAACAAGGAAGCAGGCTATGAAGTGGGACAAAGCGTTGTGTGCCTCAGCTGCAGTGTCTCTTTGTTTCTCAGCTTAAATTCACTCGTCCAAGTCTGTAGACACGTGCATGATGTGTGTTCGTTTTTTTCTCTTCCCAGTGGCCGTCACATCCCGTCCTGATTGCTATTGGGGCCGCAACTGCCGCACTCAAGTGAAGGCCCACCACGCAATGTGAGTGTGCATGCAGGGTGGGGGCTGGGCCGGGCTGGAGGAGTGAGTGCAGAAAGGCAGACAAACCCGCGGTTTCCTAACAGGAACTGCTTTTCTTTAAATCTTTTGGCCATGTTGATTTTGAAGCTTTTAGGGATGTTCATGAAGTAATCAGTTCTCTACTTAAAAATATACTAAATAATTCATTAATAGTCGTCATGCTTTTATAAAGTCATGTAGTATATAAAAAAGTCTTCATCACTTAGAAATTCTGCTCTTCCGTTATGTCATTTCATGAAATGTTTGCCCACACACATTCGTCTCCTTCTCCACCTCCATGTCCCCAGCCCACATGTTCAGGCCTGAGGGCTTTCCGAATTCGTGGCTGTGGTCACTGAGAACCATTTCCCAAGTCACAGCCATGTGCACGTCGCCATGCACCTNCACCTGGATCTACCTGTGGTGATGTGATGGCTAGAGCTCTCCCTGGGAGTTTCCCATGGGGCCTTTGGAGGCTGTTCATGTTGACATTCACGTCACCATGTGCGGTCGCCCATAGGAGTAAATCGGCCTCTGCTTTGAAACCATGAGGGAAGTGATCGCATAAGTCAGTTTCATGGATTGATGCTGTTTGCGGTGACTGATCCCAAACAGCCATTTGAGATTCAAATTAAAGGAACTGGTTCAGGAGTCATCATGAGGACTCAGGTAAAGGCAGCCGCCCCTGAGAGAGTGATTCTGTAGAATAAAAATCTTGGTTTGTATTTGAGCATAAACTGTGTGGAAGAGATCATTTTATTTTAAGAAAGAGATTTCACTAGTAACAGGCTAACCTGGCTCTATTAAAGCGTGGGGAAGGGGGGCAGCAAAGGCACCCTCGTCTTCTCAGAGAGGAGGTCACCCATGGTACCTTGGGGATGCTCACGAGGCACAGGTCTGAGTTTCTGGAAATTACCCAGATGTTCCACTTATATTTTACATTTAGAAAGGAGGGGTCACAAAGGAGTCAGACATGACTTAGAGACTAAAAAACAACAAAGAAGGTTGCATTTGGGGTTAGTGTCTTTGACTGTGAGAAACATGCCTTTGCAAACCCCCAAGCACAGGGTCACTGTCTCCTGTAGTGCCTTTGGGTGCAAGTACAGAATTCCTTTACTGACTGCATCTGTGATGCCCTCTCGTATGATTTGACTGTTTTTTCCCCCACAGGAAATTCAATCACATCTGTGAACAGACGAGGTTCAAGAACTGAGCGTCCAAGGAGGCACCGTGATGGCTCAGGAGTGTTGGCAGTCAGTGACACATGTCTCAGAAAATACTGAAAACAGACATTTTAAGGGCATTTCACAGTCCCCCCCTCAGGGGGCACTGGGGTCTCGGCATCGGGCACTCTGGTGTGACCTTTCTTTTGTGGAGTGAGACCCTCTCGGCGAGAACCCCCCCCCACCTGTGGTACCCAGAGCCCTGGGGCCGGAACAAGAGCCATCAGCCGTCCCCTGTGTATCTGTCCCACAACCACAGTCGAAGCAGAAATCTCTCTTCAAGAAGAGTGTCCTGGGAGAGGAAGGGGAGCTTGTCAGAAACACTGTGCTGTGAGGAAAGGGAGCACAATTTTCCAGCCACAGGACGCACAGCAGCTCACATGTGTGTTTTCATAGCTTCGGTGCTCATCTCCTAATGAGACTTAAATATCACGAACTGTAGCACAAATGATATAATTTATATTTACAAATTGACTAAAATTGGAGACACTGATATTTGAAAGAATAAGCATATGTTTCTGTTTATGAAAAAAAATCATCAGACGTCCAGGACTCCCCAGTGCCAAGGGCGTGTTTGGGTCACTAACACACAGGGCTCCTCCTTGGCACAACTGCAGCCCACCGAGCTGTCCGCCCTCACTTCTCCCAGCCTCGGGGCTGGGGTGGCCTGGGGCCAGGCTGCAGGTTGTCCCTGGTGACGCCCCAGCCCGCCTGGAGCAGCCCCTTCCTGCCAATAGCTTCTGCGAGTCCTTAGCCTTTCCTCCTGCGTTGGGTTTGCCGTGTCATCTGGAATAATACTTGAAATTTTGTTGTTTAAAAAAAATTTTTTTTTAATCATTTGTTAAAGCCACCCGTTTGTTTGCAAAATTGTACCTTTTTTGCTTCTTCTCAGGAATACAATTTTCAACTTTGTCTTGCTCTTGATACAGACTCTGAGAAGCAGTGCTCTGGGGAAGAAGGCCTCCTTCCTGCATTCTAATAAACACGCTGTGTCTGTTTCTCTCCCTGGCACCTTCATCTGTGTTGATTGTGATACGTTCCTTTGGTAGGACCGCCTGTGGAGGTCACTGGTAACCTGCTTAACTAACCTAGTGTACCCCCGGTGGGGGGCGGGGGGGCCGCTGCACTCATTAGCCTCGCCTCCTGCCTCCCGGAGTGGGTGACCTGGGGGTGGGGCCAGGTCTGAACAATTGGGAAAAGGCATGTCTTCCATGGGATCCACCAGCCCAAGCCTTAGCCTATTGGTCCCTGGTTAAAGCCACAGCTTTGTGTCTAAGCTCTGGCTCAGTTCATGCAGGCACAAGGCTGCCCTCCAAGCTTAGGACCTTGGCACATCACCCCCTTCACTTCGGACCTGGACCTCTCCTCCTGAAGTAAGAACAGAGAGGTAGGACCCTTAGCAGATGTAGCCGCTTTTTTGGCTGAGGTCTAAACATGCAAACTTCACTGGACTACACTGGATCCGTAGGTGAAGGGAAGGGCTCACACCACCTCAGACAGCTGGTCCATGGTGCGCGCCAACTCCAGTGGAACTCAGATTCCCTGTTTCTGATGAGCCATATGGGGTCAGAACAGAGCTTGTCAGCCCTAACCTGAAGAGGAGCCACTGGACCCAGGCTTGCTGACCAGCTCATTTATAGGCTGGGCACCATGCGGTGTTTTTTTATCACTTTCTGTACTTCCTGTTCCTTGGCACCCTCCCCGACCACCACCACCACCCCTCCAGCATCCAGCCTACAGTGGCTTGGAGCCTGCTGTGTGCTCCTATCCTGGTGGTTTGGCTGGCACTGGGCGACTCCTGTGTCCTTGGGCCCAGCTCATGTCCTCTCACAGCCTCGCTACCGAAGACCCAAGTCCCTCTTGGGCTCCTGGTGTCTATGTCAAGAGAGGCTGGCCCTGCCCACACCGCCCATCTGCTGGGCCTCCTAGGGCTGTACACCAGCCCTTTCTGGCCTGGGTCCTGGCTCCCAGATGACCAAATGGATTCCTCCTTGGGCCAGTGACCAGGAACCCAGTAGGTCATCCTAATACCACATAGCTAACAGGATTGGGGGCTTCCCTGGTGGCGCAGTGGTGAAGAATTCACCTGCCAATGCATGAGACTATGGGTTCAGTGTCTGGCTTAGGAAGATCCCCTGGAGAGGGAACTAGCAACTGACTCTAGTATTCTTGCCTGGAGAATTCTATGTACAGAGGAGCCTGATGGGCTACAGTCCATGGGGTCACAAAGAGTTGGACATGATTTTTCAGCTAAACAATAGAATTGGGATCACGGGCCCAGGGGAAGTACCCCACGGAGAGAGCAGAGTAGCCAGGCCTCTACCAGTGGAGGCCCTGCAGCCAGACCAGCTCTCACACAACATGCAGAGAGGAAACCCAACGAAGCTCAGGTTCTGAATCAGGATTGCTGCTGTGGAGCGCACCAGACAACTGACCTGTGCTCTGGAGAAAGGAAGAGAAAGGGGGGGTGGATTGGGTTTAGAAAGCCCAGGGTGGCTGGATGCAGGATCCTTCTCTTCCTGTGTATGGTGGCAGCTTCCCAGACCTCAGGTTCCCTCCTAGCAGATACAGGTGAACTGGTGGTTTCTCCACCAGTTCAATTAGAAGGCTATCCCTGACCCCAAAGCTGACGACCTGGCAGACCCGAGCTTTCCACCACCTTTTGGCTACTAGCACCCGGGAAGCAGGTGGGGCTGGGGAAGGCAGGCTCCAGTGTCACCATCAAGAAAGCGGACTGGCTGCTGTGGGCCAGATAGCCCGCCAGAGCTCAGCCCATCCTCATTTCAGGCCTGCTCTCCCAGGCCTGACTCTAACAGGAATGTGCCACTGGGTCTCAACTACTCTCCCTGAAAGTGCCAGCCTGGGATGGCGTTTGTAGTTCCAGCAGAAGTAAGTCGAAGTTCCTTGGGTCATGGGGGTGCCACCCAGTCTGGCCTCCGTGGCTCTGCTCCTCATTCCCACCCCTTCCTGGCTCCTCTGTGAGATGAAGCTGTGCAGAACTCACTGTGAGGGGTATTGAGGAGCGAGGCCAAGGCTGAGCTGGCGATTGCCCAGTCTCCCAGCCAAGCCGCCCAGCACTTGCTCGGCTGTGCCACCTGCTGGCTCATTTCTCTGTCACAAGTGGACACCCTTTCCATCCTGTCCCTCGGGATGTGAGCAAATAGAATGCAACAGAGACCAGATGTGCGCGTTCCCTCCCACTCTCAGCTGCCACCCCAGGCTCCAGAGAACCTGGAAGGAGGCCCAGCCCCATGGATCCACTGGCTGAAAGTCCTGACCTGCAGATGAGCCACCCAGCCAGCAACCAGGAAACAAATGTCACAGTCCCAGGAATGACTCCAACCAGTAACTTAAATACAACTGTCGTAAAAATTGTATAAACTTGGAACTCCCAAATTATAATTAAAGGTAATGAGCACTCAGGACTCAGCCCTTCTTGATGAAGCTTGCATCTGACTGCTCCCCTGCTCCCACAGGCATCTACCTGTCTGGACTTACAGGTTCTCTGCAGTGCTGCCTTTGGTTTGGTCTGTGGACCTCACCTTTGGCAGCTTGACACCTGCCACACTATGAATATTCACAACATGGAAACTGATAAATGCTGCAAATAGGGTCATTTTTTTTCTTTTTCTGAAGAGGAGGTTGTTAAAGACTGTTTCAATGACATTGAAACAAAGAAGGTTGCATTTGGGGTTAGTGTCTTTGACTATGAGAAACATGCCTTTACAAAGCCCCCGCCCCTCCTTGAGCAACCCGCCCTTCCCACTCACCCCACCCCAGGGCCTTCCGAAGCTCCACTCAAAGCTGGGCCCTCGCCCGCTTCTGCAGTGGTGGCCAGGCCTCTGCCCCACTCTGGGCTCACCTCAGACCTGCTCCTGGAGGGAGCCTCCCAACCAGCGTTCTAGCATCAGACTGTTTGGCTTTCTTCCTGGTGCTGACCAATCATTTGAAAGCAAGCATATCCTGACTGTTTTTCTCCCCTTCAGAATTCCAGAACAGGGCCCCTCCTGGCTTGCTCACTAGCAGAAATGTCTGATAATCACAGGGCTGACTGGTCCTCGCAAAGACCCTGCTGAGACATCCCTCTGCTGGGTCTCTTCCCCAAGGCACAGGCGATGACTCTTTCCCCTGTCTCTGTCGAGTGAATGCATCCTCTTCTTTTGTTTTCTGTGTGTTTCCTTCTGAAGAAGTGAGCCTGGAACACACCCTTATCTTTGGTGCTCCCGTGCCCACATGGAGCAGCCCGGCATGACGAGCGCAGGAAGCCGGTTTTGTGCTGACGGGACCTTCTCCAGGTTATCTTCCTGACCCGAGGACTGAACCTGGGTCTCCTGCATTGTATGCAGATTCTTTATAGGATGTGGGGTTTGCCAAAAAAAAAAAAAAAAAACCATCTGATTTTATAAAACCCTGTGGTGCTTGATGTCTGAGGACAAAGTGTTGTGACCTGAACTGTGTCCCTTCCCAAATTCACATGTTGAAGCCCTGACCCAGAGGACCTCAGAATGTGACTGTGTGGAAACAGGGCCTTTAAGTGGTGATTGAGGTAAAACAAGGCTGTATGCATGGACCCCAACCCAGTGGACTGGTGTCCTTATAAGAGGAGGAGATGAGGACCCAGGCACACAGGGACGACCATGTGAGGGCATAGGGAGGAGACAGCTGTCTGCATGCCAAGGAGAGAGGCCTCAGTGGGAACCAGCCCTATGATACCTTGCCTCCAGAACTGCGGGACTGTAAATGTCTGTTGCTTCAGCCTCCTCACCTGAGTGTTATGCAGGCTCCAGGACCGGCACACAGAACCGCTACTGAGAGCAACCCCCCTCACATCACAGCATACAGCCATGTAACCCCTGGTCCCATTTTGTTGTTGTTTAGTCTCTAAGTCATGTCTGACTCCTTTGTGACCCCTCCTTTCTAAATGTAAAATATAAGTGGAACATTTGGGTAATTTCCAGAAACTCAGACCTGTGCCTCGTGAGCATCCCCAAGGTACCATGGGTGACCTCCTCTCTGAGAAGACGAGGGTGCCTTTGCTGCCCCCCTTCCCCACGCTTTAATAGAGCCAGGTTAGCCTGTTACTAGTGAAATCTCTTTCTTAGAATAAAATGATCTCTTCCACACAGTTTATGCTCAAATACAAACCAAGATTTTTATTCTACAGAATCATTCTCTCAGGGGCGGCTGCCTTTACCTGAGTCCTCATGATGACTCCTGAACCAGTTCCTTTAATTTGAATCCAAATGGCTGTTTGGGATCACAGTCACCGCAAACAGCATCAATCCATGAAACTGACTTATGCGATCACTTTCCTCATGGTTTCAAAGCAGAGGCCGATTTACTCCTATAGGCGACCGCATGTGGTGACGTGAATGTCAACATGAACAGCCTCTAAAGACCCCGTGGGAAACTCCCAGGGAGAGCTCTAGCCATCGCATCACCACAGGTAGATTCAGGTGCATGGCGACGTGCACATGGCTGTGACTTGGGAAATGGTTCTCAGTGACCACAGCCACGGATTCGGAAAGCCCTCAGGCCTGAACATGTGGGCTGGGGACATGGAGGTGGAGTGTCAGACATAAATTAGCAACTAAACAACCACATTTTATATACTATTAACAGCCTGTGGCAGGCTGAATAATGCTCTCTGCCCTTGTACCTAAAGAAGTCCATGTCCTGACCCCTGGAATCTGTGAATGTCACCTTATCTAACAAAAGGGATTTGCAGGAGGTAAAACCATCCTGGACTGTTCAGTGGGTCCTCAGTGAAATTGCAAGGGTCCTAATAAATGGGGGACAAGAAGGTCAGGCAGAAAAAGATGTGAGAGTACTAGAGGCTGAAGTGATGCCTTAGAAGTTGGAGGAAGGAGCCACGAGCCAAGAGATGCACTAGAGGCTGGAAAAGGCAAAGGAAACAGCTCCTTCGAGAGCCTGGAGAAGAAACATGGCCTGGTGACACCTGGATTTTAGACATCTGACCTCCAGAAGCATGAGAGAATGAATCCGTGTTG